CGGAACACTTTCCTCTGTTTCTTACTCTTGATCTTTCTAGATCGGTCGATGCTCGCCCAAATGAGGATGTGGTCGGTCGAACCTATATCTATCGCACTTATGTGCAGCTCTGGGATCTGCGTGCTCCCCCTGTCTACCAGGATGTAGTCGAGGATTGAGTATTCATTGCAAACTGCCCGTTGCCTTGTGAACTCCGGCTTATCGCATTCCCTCCTACCGTTCAACACCATCAGTTCGTTGCTTCCCAAGAATTCAAGCATCCTCACTCCGTTGTCATTCACTTTGTCTTCTCCGTGCTGCCCGATCGCCTGTCCTCTACTGGAAGCTTCCCCCACTGGAGTTGAAATCGCCCACCATGACAACTTTTCCCTTCCCACTGAACCTCTGGGGACATCTTCCCCNATCTGCGTGCTCCCCCTGTCTACCAGGATGTAGTCGAGGATTGAGTATTCATTGCAAACTGCCCGTTGCCTTGTGAACTCCGGCTTATCGCATTCCCTCCTACCGTTCAACACCATCAGTTCGTTGCTTCCCAAGAATTCAAGCATCCTCACTCCGTTGTCATTCACTTTGTCTTCTCCGTGCTGCCCGATCGCCTGTCCTCTACTGGAAGCTTCCCCCACTGGAGTTGAAATCGCCCACCATGACAACTTTTCCCTTCCCACTGAACCTCTGGGCATCTTCCCCAATTTGTCCAAAGTCCTCCTGCGCCTTGCTTGCGACTTTCTTTGAGGACGGTGGGACGTATGTGTGTGTTGTGTTTTCGTCCTATTTATCATGGCGACAGTCCCCCTATTTTTCGTGGTGAGACGTGTACTACACTTTTCATTGTATTTTTCTACAACTACAACCATCCAGGGTCACACAGGAGGGGGTAAACACCAGGGCTTTTCTCTTCTTTTTTTTCTTTTCATGCCCCACCTTCCTCCTTCGGTGCGTGCTGAATTTATTTTTATCGCGAGAAGGGTCCAGCCGTCCCTTTCCCTCGTCAACGGTGCTGACGTCGAAGTTTGGTACTCACGAGAGCTTGTCATCTATGTTTCGCTTTCTCCCGCACATTTCGTAAAATTTTCACCCCATGGGGGTTCGAACTCATGATCTCTGCAACTAGCGGATTACGAGGATAACACTAGACCACCGGGGCGACCGGTGACTGGGACGCATACTTTCCCTAGAAACAAATCTTTCTCGCCCCGCTCCCCAGGTATCTTTAGCCATAGGCTTTCCTCGAACTCCGTTTTCACCACTGCTTCCATCACGTCAAACAAGTTTTCCGGGGAGGGGGGGGGGTAACCGGTAGGTGAAGCTTGGAGTCTACAGGCCTTCTGTTACCACAGCTCTTACACCAGCACAGCAGGTAGTTGATTCGTGTGTGGTGTTTGCACTCTGTTTCCGCCCGTGGACGCACACGTCTGGCGACAGTTACATCTATCAGCTGTCCCTCGTTGTTGTGACCAGTACGGTGAGGTTGGTGGTGGATAATAAAAGGAAGGGGCGCGATTGAGTTGGACCAAGCGAAAAACGTTTTCGACAGAAACCCCACCGTAAAGGAGCCCAGCGAGAGGGACGGCGAAGAAAGCAAAATATACCAACCACGCGCTGGCGCAAGTGTACTCAGCTCCTCATCGAGGCCGCAGAAAAAAACCTAGACTAAACAGGAAGTAGTTGTATTGTGCAGCAGGTAGGCCGCCGGCTGACTCCTGAATCGCCCTTGTCAACCATGCACGAATCAGCAAACTTAGACTACCACGTGCGACGCAGCGCTGTTGCCTCTACAACACGCGGTCAGACGAGTAGTCCAGACAAGTCTAGACTATCTACACCGATAAAAGCCGGCGCGTCTACAATACCTCTGGTTTATAGGAGCTCTCCAGCTCATTTTTCCTTTTTCCGGAACCCTCAACCACATGAAACATCTGCACAGTGTCTCGGTAACAAAAGGTGAACGCAGCAGCAGCAGCAGCAGCAGCAGCAGCAGCAACAACAACAGCAGCAACAAACAAGTTGGATCTCCTGTGGTACACTAGACTAGACTATGCATTTTTTTCCAGTGGGCTCTTCCCCGCGTCCACATCACACGGCCAAAGGTACACAAGCACAGCCGATAAAACGCCGCCGACCTGCACAGCCGCCAGACCCGCGACATCACCTTGATTGCCGCAAGCAACTTTGAAAGGAAGCGCACTTGAGCGACATGCTCGTAGACAACAGTGTATAGAGGACGATTGATAGCTCGCGTGAGAGCAACGGAAGCACGCATCAACACTTGTATATTGCGGGGGTCGAGAATGTTTTGGCGGACGGAATTTCGCGCTGGGAGAATCACGCATCGATTTCATCTGATTTACAACGCTTGCACCCGTCTGTGCGCTGGCGTGAACAGGTGCTGAGCCGGGAGGGCGTAGACTTGTGTACCGGATTGCTGGACTCCAGTACGTCCGCGGAGCGGTTGCGTTGTCGTCTCAAAAAACTTACGAATCAGGCTTCCGTTCTTGGCAAGCTTTTCGTGCCTCCATAGACGCCCCTATATACCTTCCGGAGGGGGGTTCGAGCCACGATTATGTGATGGCTTTGGTTGAATTCGGGGGGTGGTGCTGTGCATCCGAGAGCAACCAAGCGGGTACAATATCCGGTAAACTAGCAGCGGTGAAGTATTTTCATCTTACAGAAGCCGGTATTGAATTGCCCATGGATTCCCCCCTGTTGAAACGGTTGCTGGCCGGCGTGAAACGGTCACACGTGGATGCGGGAGTGCTGAAGCTGTTGCGGCTACCGGTGACCTTGAGCATTTTGTTGGCGTAGGGGCAAACCGTTGCAAGGGCTTGGGGGGCGGGAGGACCCGTCCTGTTCCTGTGTCTCTTGATCTGTTACTTTCTGGGAGCGCGAGCCCACGAGCTGTTCGAAAACGACGCGGGTGACGTGCATGCGGTTCACTGTTTAACTCGGGGGGATGTCGCCTTCTTCGCCGAGGAGCGTCAGTTGTGTTCAGCGGAATGGGAGACGGCGACCCGTTCGGAGTTTCGTTTTCGGGGTCATAAGGGTGATCAAGCCCAAGCGGGTACCGTTCTTGTGCGTTCGCGGAATGTAGCTTTCGGCCCGCGTTCACGGCTGGATGCGGACGGCGGTGGCGTCGCGGTGATGGTGGAATTAATGTAGATCGACACTTCTTTGCCGGAACACGCGCCTCTCGCCGCGTTCAGAGTCGGGGACTCGGTAAAAGTGTGGAACTACCGGCAGGCCACAAGGGCCATTCGCCAGATAGCCGAGAAGGGGGGGATGGACCCCACGCGGGTGTCGCTGCATTCTTTACGTATTGGAGCGGCTACGGTTCTTGCAGCCGGAGGGGAGATTTCGGAACGGTTATCCAGAGAGAGGGCAGATGGAAGTCGGGTATTGACACGTACAAGGTGTACACCCGCAATAACATAGAAGACTCGACGGTGGTCTCCCGTAAATTAACCGAAGCCGGGAAGCGCTCGCTAGCGCAACCCGGCCAAGGAACTAGATGGAATGGAACGGCGGAACCGTAGGACCTGCCCCGCGAGGTGGGAGTATTTCTACGGAACGTATCGTTGGGGTCTTGGGGCCATCCTAGATCGGCTCCACCTTGTCCACTCCAACTAGTAGTGTCGAGGAGAAATTGTGGCTTGAGCAGACGTACGAATTGCATCGGCCCGGGCGGACGCGCCGCCATGGTTTCACGTTGTCGTCGTCGGAATTTTTCTTCGGGATCACCAGCTTGAATGATAATACATGGCTGTAAGTCGTGGTTTGCCCTATAGCCTACCCCTTGTACAAACCGCAGCCTTCGCAGTACAGCAGTAGTACGCATGTACGCACGCGCAACAACAGACACGCGACTCACCAAACTACACGTGGCGTTGCAGAGGAGCAGAGGAGAAATACACCAGTTGTGCTGTTGTTGCGAAGGGATGGGCGATGGTGCGAATGGGGTGTAGACTGCTGTGGGGCGGTGACTAGATTCCGAATGAAATACAAATAGATACTTATTCGACAGCGGCGGGATCATTGGCGGGATAAAGCTAAAAGTAATCCCTTGTGCTTGGTTTGGGTCTGGTTGGGGCGCGGCATTGCGGGTATGGGTGTAGTTCTGTCTGCGTAGCCCCTCACAGCATCTCAAAGCTCGAACACCAGACACACAGCAGCACGTCGTTGTGCCGCCGCCGGGCGCCGGTCGGAGAGGGGTAATGTCGTTACAACGGTGCACCCTGAGCTGGCAAGCCTTCACCACGTGTGCCAGCCATGCCATGTCGACGGAGAAACAGGAGGTGGGTTCAACTGCCTTATTGCAGCTGCGGCGGGATTCCTCCGCTGTCGACAGGAAGCGTGTAGACTACTGTATGTATTTTTATTATTAGCATCGACCGCACTAACCGGCTGACGAATGACAAGACGTCAGTCTTAGTGCGGTTGAAAACACAAAACACTTCTATCTGCCATGAACTGGGACCCCGTGAGGGGGCAGCATGGGGGAGGCTAAACTATGCTTCGGATCAAAGACAGAAACAGCAGCAACAGAAGAAAACTGCACGCGTCTACCAAGGCCACTACAGTAGAGGTCCCTGTTTAGTGCCGGTTGAATAGTGCCGGTTGCCGGTATAGTGCCGGTCTCTGCCTTCCCAACATAACATATATGAGACACACAAGACAGCTACCAAACTGATTTGAGCCTGTTACCCACAGGGGAGATGTCCCTATATGCTGTCTGGGAAATCGTAGACACACAGGTAGTTTTCTCTGACGCTATGATTCCATTGTTAATCTGTCTCTGACTCTTTTCTATGACAGAGATAGACTCGTGGTGTCATATTAAGAAAAAAAAAAAAAAACGCCCTGAATAGTGCCAGACCGGCCTTATTCAGGACTTCCCACCGTAGTGCCGGTTCGGGCCCCACTGAACCCCACAATAGTGCCGGTTCAAGCACGCACGCACACACAACACACAAGAGACATAGACAAACAGACGACAGCCACAGAGGAAAGGGTACACGTGCTGCTGCAGACCCGAACAGCTCTAGTGAGGGCGGGGGTTACAGCTACAGCGGCTGTTTGATTTCTTGCATGTCCCGTTCTTGCTTCGTGTTTTTTTTTCTCGTTCTGGCTACATCGAAGGAGGGTGAGGAGACAGATTTAGCTTCCTCCTTCACCAATAGGTTGTGCCAGCAGGCGCTTCGCTAAAGTGTTACCGCCATAAATCCATGGGCTTAATGATCAGTGGTTTGCTTTCGCTGTCGAGGAGTGATGTTGAGGTTGCGCGGAATGGTTTGATCCGTTTAAGGCCAGTGCCACGGCATTCTTGCCACCAAAATATTGGACATCTATGAGGTGCATCCTTTGCGATATTCATGTGAAGGGTTTAAGTCAGGTTGTGCAAGTGTGCAGTACTTGCGCTGAGGTGGGTAGGTACAGCAACAAGGTGCAGCATGTGTGTCCCGTCGANTGATCAGTGGTTTGCTTTCGCTGTCGAGGAGTGATGTTGAGGTTGCGCGGAATGGTTTGATCCGTTTAAGGCCAGTGCCACGGCATTCTTGCCACCAAAATATTGGACATCTATGAGGTGCATCCTTTGCGATATTCATGTGAAGGGTTTAAGTCAGGTTGTGCAAGTGTGCAGTACTTGCGCTGAGGTGGGTAGGTACAGCAACAAGGTGCAGCATGTGTGTCCCGTCGAGTTAACTTATTAAGCAAAATATGTGTGTTCGACAGGGCAGGAACCACCCCTATCGTGGCACAGCAGTCTGCCCGCGACGCCCATGCCGTGATCTCACCATGTACGTTTTATGTGTTACTCTGTTGGCCCCGCAAAGCAAAGCGCTGCACTCTGAAATTACACCTTTCGTCAATAGTGCCGGTCTAGCACTATTGAAGGATTTTCAGACCCCGAATAGTGCCCCTTTGGCACTATTCAGGCACTCTGAAGAATAGTGCCGGTGCCGTATAGTGCCGGTGAAATTTTTGCGCACACCCCGGCACAATACAGGGACCTCTACTGTACCTTGTACTCGAGTTCGTTTCGGAGTACTTTCACCATTATCCTCCTTGTTTTCGCTACCATCATTCTGATCCTCATTTTGACAAGAATCTCTGGGCAGTTCTTCCCTAGCCTTACGTTTTTTGTTTTGGGGAAGGTCATCTGGCTCAAAAACTTTCCTCTCTTCCGCTCCTTCATGTTTTCCTCCTCCATCGTCGTCTTCGTCCTCCTTTCTTCCCTTTCCCTTTCCTTCGTCTGTCACTCCCAAAATAATTCCTCNTTCTGATCCTCATTTTGACAAGAATCTCTGGGCAGTTCTTCCCTAGCCTTACGTTTTTTGTTTTGGGGAAGGTCATCTGGCTCAAAAACTTTCCTCTCTTCCGCTCCTTCATGTTTTCCTCCTCCATCGTCGTCTTCGTCCTCCTTTCTTCCCTTTCCCTTTCCTTCGTCTGTCACTCCCAAAATAATTCCTCTCATTACTATCGTTGTCGCAGAGATCCCAACCGATTGGCTCTGGTGGAAGTTGGTCGATCAATAGCCCATGACGTGTGAACGCATCGCATGTTCGCATCGACAGAAAACGAGCTAGCTCGAAGGTAAACCATCTCCGATTCCTGTTAGTATGAAAAGCTTTCAGGCGAACTACGGCTCTTTCGTCGTCACAATTCCCCCGGCGAAAAGCTTCGTGCGCCAAGTGGTTGGCGATAGCAACGATGAGTCGATTGGTGCCTTTGCCAAGACCACTATTCATTGAAAAAGAAGCAGTAAGGAGGGTAGATTTAGACGGGTTGAAAGTTCCCGCCTTGTGATTTGCTTTACTTGCAGCTCGATCTTCGAGGGCGGATCCTAGCTTTTGCATCGACTTGTCGATGCTTCGACCTGCGGATGGGTTGACGGTTGTTACGTCTATAAGAACGGACGGTGCAGGGTTACTCTTCCTTCTCTCCTGCGTGTATTACTGGG